TGCAGCATTATCCAGATTCCTATGAAAATAACAAACAAGCAATCCAATTAAAGCTCCCACATAAGTAAGGATAACTAAAGTTTTCAATTTTACTTGGATTGGCTAGTGCTGCATAAAATAAAATAAAAAATGTAGTCTCTTTGGTGGACAAAAGATTTTTGAATGAAATCGAAGCGTGGAGCAAAGGATTCATATCCTTGACTGAATGGATTTTTTATTTATTTATTTATTTGTTTATTCTCTTTTGATTATGAAGGAAGAATAGGTTAACGGTCTGTGTGCGCGCGCGCGCGCGAAGTTATGATTTTATTAGATTTCTTTTTATACGCTATGTGTACAAGAACTTATACTTTTGATACATAAACTAGTGTCAACGTAAGTTCATTTTGCTACAAGATTATTTTAAAAACGAACTAGTATTATTTCAGTTCGTATGTAATTGGAGATTTGAATTGGAGAAGGGGATTATGATGAGTTTAGCTTGATTTTTCTCACAAAGGCTAAGTGGCTTTTTGGCAACCATTAGAGAATAAATAGGAGGGATTAGTCACTACTCTAGATAGGTTGAGGTGGGATTCTATTTCTTATAGAGTATGGATGTGGCCTTTGGGTATTTGTTCACCTTGCATGATAATTTTTGTTTATGACTAACTTAACACATGTTGCTTTGCCATATCAACACATACCATTGTCAATGATTAACTTCACATTTGGTGTGTTTCTATTGGAACACATATTAGGACTAATGATTAGCTTAACATTTGTTGTTTTTCTATTGGACCACATTTCATTCTTAATGATTAGGACAACAATTGTTTTCTTGTTATTGGAACACAGTTTATGGTGATGATTAGCACAATACTTGGTTTCATTCTATTGGCACACTTGGGAGAGATTTTTTTTGGAGAGGAAGATGTCATGCAATCTCTATAAATGAAGGAGCAAGAACCAATGGAAGAGACATGGAGAGAAGAGATAGGAAGAAGAAGAAAAAAGAAAAAGAACAACTCCAACAAAAAGCCATTCTCTCTTTCATCTTACCTCTTACCTTTCTTTTACATATTGTTAAGGCTTTAAGCCATCTTTCATTGTATTTGTAAGTCTCTTATATATAGTGAAATACGATGAAAGCAAACCCCAGTGGATGTAGTCGCTCAAGTAAACCACTTAAATCTTGTGTTATTTATGCATTTACATTTTGAGATCATTGCCATGAGAAGCACTCCCACTAAACCATTGAAAATCTCCATTTACTTCCCTTGAGAATGTTGTAATAAAGACAAATCCTAAAATATGCGTGAGAGCTTACCCAACAGAATTGCTTTATGGAACTCAAATGGGGTTATGCATCAATATCACCTAGAGAGAGATGGAGTAAAATGGTAAAGTAATACTTCTCAATTAGATTGTTGTGTGTTATCCATACTATATATTATTGATAATATAATTCAATTTTGGCTACTAACAATTTGATTAGTGTTGCAAATATAATACAATTTTGGCTACTAACAGTTTGATTAGTGTTCCAGATGTTATAGAGCATGTGATTATTGATATCCTTGTGACAAGGCATATACATAAGCATTCTTGCAAAGCAAGAAAAAGAGTTGTGTTGTGTCGAGTGCTCACTTGTGTAAAGTGTTTAAATTGTGGAGATATTCAAGGGATGAAGTTTGCCTTGAATATAATTAATGAAATCTTGTATATGTCAAGCATCGGGAGAATGGCTTGAATATACATTTGGACGTCGGGGTAAGTGCCTATATGCTAAAGTGAAAATTGAGAATTTAATTACAAAAATTGGATTTAAGGGATGAACAAGAGTTAATTCATATTCTAAGATATTCGGAGCCAAGTGGTATAAGTATGGTATGGGACGTGCAAACTTGGGTGCCTTAGGTATGTGTTAGTGGGATTAGAAGGGAGTGAGTACATTCATCCATCCCATTTGCATATATTTTATGTATTTGCAAGAATTGTTACAATTTAATCATTTTTTATTGGTAGCTCTTGTTGTGAATTAAGTTTTACACTATTTTATTCGGATACGTATTCGATAAATTCTATGTAAGATTTTGTTATGTAATTTATGTGTAATCATTATAATTTTATTTCATTTTCCACCATATATTGGTTGTATAGTTTTTTTTTATAGCTAAGATATGTTTCACACCCTAACTTGTGAATACTTCTTATTCGTTAGTCGGGGCGTGGCAGTTGATTGGCTTTATAATTTGCTTTAAGTTTTAATGAATCCTAACTTTTTGTCCAAAAAAAAAAAAGTTTTAATAAATTCATTGACATAACTTACAAAAAATGACGCCACATATAAGTGAGAAATTTTAGATTCGATTCTCGCCAAAAGCGAATTTGAACTATATTATTATTAGTCCATTATAAGGCTCCTAAGCCCTCCTTGGCAATGATTAGAGTTTTTTTTTTTTTTTTTTGAACAAACGATATCATCTATAGAGATGAGGTGATATTAGCTTCACAATGGCTAACAATAATGTAGTTCAAATTCGCCTTTAACAAGAATTGAACCTAAAACCTATAATTTACAAGTAAAGAGAAATATCACTAAATCGAAGTATTAAGTGTTAAATTTTTTAAGACAAAATAAAACTAAATTGAAATTCTCTAGAGCATTGCAAAAATAAATGGAATTAGTTTTTACAGGGTCCAGTGCATCACGATGGAACCAAAAGATAGAATTGGATCTGAGGCAGTCCCTTGGGATCTTGCTGACCAGTGTTAATGGACCATTGAATTTTTATCTAACCGCTACAAATAAAAAATCCTCTAAAAATTATAATTATTGTAATCGTTTGATAAAATACAATGGCTCACTAATCCTGATCGCGAGGATCCTGAATGTTTGTCTTTGAGAGGATCCAATTCCCCAAAAAACAATCTAAACTGACACCACCCACTTGCCCACCACTAATTTACTGGGAGGAATCTATTTCCTTGAAAATACCTTTTTCTTTTTTTGGCCAGATCTAAATTTGAAATTTTATTGGTGAAAATATCTACGTCTGAAAATTCAAACGGTCTGGTAGTTAAGGTGCAGCCAGGGTGTCCAACGGTTCACCTCTCTCCTCTCAGAGCTGGCAAACCCTCATTTTAACCCGACTCCGCGGTCAACATTTAACCCCGGTTACATTTCCCCCCCTTATAATCCAGACCTAGACCTCCCTCCTTTTCCAATTCAATCGAATCCAGTCCAATCCCACCACCACTCGTCTGAGGCGTCTTGGTAAACGCCGTCCCTCCCTCCTCCTCCTTCTCCTGCCTCCTTGCAGTTGGAACCCTAACCCTCTCCCTCACCTCCCGCCAAAATGAGAGAGTGCATTTCAATCCACATCGGGCAAGCCGGAATCCAAGTTGGCAACGCCTGCTGGGAGCTCTACTGCCTCGAGCACGGCATTGGCCCCGATGGCCAGATGCCTAGCGACAAGACCGTCGGCCGCGGTGACGACGCCTTCAACACCTTCTTCTCCGAGACCGGTGCCGGCAAGCACGTCCCTCGCGCCATCTTCGTCGATCTGGAGCCCACCGTCATCGACGAGGTCCGCACCGGCACCTACCGCCAGCTCTTCCACCCTGAGCAGCTCATTTCCGGCAAGGAAGACGCCGCCAACAACTTCGCCCGTGGTCACTACACCATCGGCAAAGAGATCGTAGATCTCTGCCTCGACCGCATTAGGAAGCTCGCTGACAACTGCACCGGGCTCCAAGGGTTCTTGGTCTTCAATGCCGTCGGTGGCGGTACCGGATCGGGTCTCGGGTCGTTGCTTCTGGAGCGGCTTTCGGTTGATTACGGAAAGAAATCCAAGCTGGGATTCACTGTGTACCCTTCTCCCCAGGTTTCTACATCTGTTGTGGAGCCTTACAACAGTGTTCTCTCAACCCATTCTCTGCTGGAGCACACTGATGTGTCTGTGTTGCTTGACAATGAAGCCATCTACGACATCTGCCGTCGGTCCCTCGATATCGAGCGTCCCACCTACACCAATCTGAATCGCCTCGTCTCTCAGGTATTTCATCGAACACCTTATGTGCATAACCACTGATTCTGATTGGTTACGATTTGATGGCTGATGGGCTGTTGATTGTTTTGTGGGTTTTCAGGTCATTTCTTCGCTGACAGCCTCGCTGAGGTTCGACGGAGCTCTGAATGTGGATGTGACTGAGTTCCAGACTAACTTGGTTCCATACCCCAGGATCCATTTCATGCTTTCCTCTTATGCTCCGGTAATCTCCGCCGAGAAGGCGTACCATGAGCAGCTTTCGGTGGCTGAGATCACCAACAGTGCATTCGAGCCTGCTTCCATGATGGCCAAGTGCGATCCCCGCCATGGAAAGTACATGGCCTGCTGCTTGATGTACCGAGGTGATGTCGTTCCCAAGGACGTGAATGCCGCTGTGGCCACCATCAAGACCAAGAGGACAATCCAGTTTGTCGATTGGTGCCCTACTGGGTTCAAGTGTGGTATCAATTACCAGCCACCAACTGTTGTTCCGGGCGGTGACCTTGCCAAGGTGCAGAGGGCTGTTTGCATGATCTCCAACTCCACCAGTGTTGCTGAGGTGTTCTCTCGCATTGATCACAAGTTTGATCTGATGTACGCCAAGCGCGCTTTCGTGCATTGGTACGTGGGTGAGGGCATGGAGGAAGGAGAGTTCTCTGAGGCTCGTGAGGATCTTGCTGCTCTGGAGAAGGATTACGAGGAGGTTGGCGCTGAGTCTGCCGAGGGAGATGATGGTGATGAGGGAGACGACTACTGATTCCCAACCTCATGGTTTTTACCTGTTTTCGCATTTGCTAAGTTTCGTTTCGAATGTTATGAACTGAATGTTGTTTGTGGGTGGTGTAGCTATGCATCTTCATAGCACACTATACATTTCTAAGTCAGTATGCAATCTATCTTATATTTCTTGCTGGATGTTTCTTACAATCTTAACTCAGAATATTATTCACATATGAAAAACCGAAATCGATCTCAAACCAGACCTGGATATTTATTCACATTGCGGGGCAAAGGTTTTGGCCGAGTTTCAATCGCCAACATCAAAATTATGAAACGATTAGAATTTTCGGTTCTTTACATAATGCAATTCGAAGCATTCCATCCCAGCATTGGACTATAAACAATGCCAGATGATATCTCAGAGACGTCCAAATTTTTGGACTAGGCGGTTCTCTATTTGGAGTCTCTTCTTTGCGATCAACCCATACTTCGGAACTAGATGTATGTCGGGAATCGCTGCCAGTTTGCTCTTGAGGGATGTGTTCTCGGATTTGTGCTCATAGAGGCATTTGAAGGGCACAAAACTGCCTTTGTTGTTGCACAGCGAACCATGTGCAGCCCTCAAGGCAGCTCCTAGAGAAGCTGAATCTGTAAAAAGGTTAGAGAATGAAAAGAAATGATGAGTTGCGGTCTCTCGATCGAGCAAACGTTAAAACTTGTGAAACAAGGACATAGAAAAGGTGCACCCATTTGATTTGACAGACAAAACTTGTATAATCTTACGCATAATGCATATATTTGGCGAAATACTTACCGGGCCTTTGGACTGTGTAAACCTCACACCCAAAAACACAAGCTGCGATGCCCAGGATCGGGCGATTTACAGACGCACCCCCAGTGGCTATTAATCGTTTTGGAGGAGAAGGCATTCCAAATCTTTCTGCATGACCTCGCATTGACACAAACTGGCCCTCTATTACAGCCCGAACCTACAAAATTTGTAAATTCACCTTTCTCAGGGAGAGTTCGTGCAGGGTGTCCTCCACCCATGTGAACAATTTCCATTTAAAACGTACAAACCTCAGAAGCACTGTCAAACTCCTTTTCTACTTCACGTTCATTCACGCCCTCCAAAGTTTCACCATTGAAATTTTCAAGAACGTAGCGATGGAAACCAACTAAGACCATAAAAGTTAGAGTTTATCATTTGCTGCTTACTTCTATGATTAAATTATAGAATTACGCAGTTGAAAGGCAGTTGGATATCCAGGCACTGCAGAAATTAGAATAAATAGAGCAGAAACAACCATATAGATAAACTATGCTTTTCTCCAATTACCATTCGGCTGGAAAAGATTAACAAGTATTGTTGATTAAGAACCAAACCGGAAATGAAGGCAATTCAACTACGAAATATGGACAACCCTCAAAGAGTCAGTCAGAAAGAGATTACGAGTATAAATGGAGAAATTAAATAAGAAAAAAAATCTAACCTGGAAGTGGGGGAAGAATCTCATGCTCCTTGTAGTAGAAACCCAGCTTTCCACCTTTAGCAGAAACCAGAATATGAAATAAAGAAAAGACAACAATAATTCCAAAAAGAAAGTAGTTTAGACAAGACATATGCTAACCGTTCAGAGGTAATGTATTCAAAAGCTCTTGGGTGAATCTATCCCAGCTGCTTTCCGTGTAGCGGTTGCGAATATCTAAGATCAAGATTGTGGTCATACTAGGAAACTAGAAAAATATCCCAATTAGAACCCATAAAAATGTGTCAGCGCACAATTGTACCTTCACGAGTTAGCGACCCATTCTTGTAACACAACATAACCATGTACCCTTTTGTGTCAACAGGGTTAGGGAAAACATGTCCTTCCAAGCTAGGTTGAAGATCATCAGTAATCCCAATGAGCTAAGCAACAGATACAAGTAAAGGAGAACACAAGATATAAGTGAGAATCCAGAGAAAGAGCTACTTCAATAGTAGATTATGTAGAAGAAACCATTGATTGTGATAATGACTCGTGCAGCATTCACTATTATAACAATTTGTGATACCTCGTTAGCATTTTAATTGGTTACACAACTAAGCTCCAGCTAGGTAACATTCTAATTTTGAACTTATTTAAATGGAGAGAGGAGTATGAGAGATAGAAGACAGACACGGTATATGGGGAAAGATGATAAGAGGCTAAGAGGGAGGAGAAAATACATTAAAATGCCACACACTATGAAAACTGAAAACGATTTAGTAAAAGCAATTTAAATAGTTCATTTTTTGTTTCATACATTTTCCCTTATTTCTCTCTTCTTATTGCCATATGTTCTTCTCAAATTTTAATTAGTTTTTCCTTCCGCCTCCTTTTCCTTCGTTTCTCCCATATTCTTCTCCATCTTAGCTAAAAAGTTAAAATTAGAAGCTAATATCGAAACTTAACACAAAGGAGCCCCAAATATCATTTTCTATTTTTTTAGAACTCATCTGTTTTCCTTTTCTTTCTCACATGTTTTGACTCTCATTTCTCTCCTCTCCCCATCCAGTTAATTGGAAAAGATAGCAGAAAATAGAAATGGTATCACCATATCACAAAGATCCTAAGAATTTAATTTTAACTTACAGTGTCACTTGTGCCAAGACTGATTGCTAGATCCCCTGGGGTACTTAGTGTTAAACCTGCACGTCCAAAACGCTTACATTTGATAAGTTAAAAAAGTAAAATCTAAATCATATGATAGCCTTCCGAATATGAAAGGTTAAACTATAACAACCAACAGCAGAACTATGAGGAGTCAAAGAGATTTCACCAGTTCATTGGAAATTTACAGATATTAGGAACACAAGAATATCCAAACAATTAGAAAATCAGGCACCTGCCACACTGTTGGGGTTGTCTCCTGACCAGAGAATAACCAAACAATTCTTGTTGAAGCGAAATCTGGAAAGAGATTTGAAATTTCTTATCTGTTACGGAAATATTTTCAGACAGAAAGTATACATGAAACTACAAAGACTGCAGACTAAAATCATGACCATGCTAGCATAACTCCGTTCAATGCGAACAATTTATAATGTCAAACTTCCACAATCATCCACATTTTCAGGCTTATTATTTGAACAGTTAAACAGGTTTTGTATTTCTTTTGTAATATCATAGTCGTTTTTTCCTTTTTGATAATTAGAACTTGGATATTATAGATTAAGTTCATTTTGAAAAGGAAGAAACCGTAGTATGCAGGTTTTAGCCTTTCAATTACCATGTAAATCCCTAAACCATAAACCCTAAACAAAAGTGCTTATCAAAAAGGGCTGTGTCCTGGTTTCAGGGGTGCATTTTATTTCTCAAAAATAACATCCCATTGGTCCATTTGATTTGCTATTTTATTTAATTAGTTCACCATAATTCTGGGTTATATTACCATTTTTTCTTTTGAGGTGCACGTAGTTTATTTTGTTCTCATGTAAACTAAATGCATCACAATAAATAATGGATGAAAATTCTAATTCAGCATAAGACAATCAAATATCAAGAGAATGCTACAAGAGTAGATTGAAAAACAATATGCTTCTGAAAAACCATCACAAACGCTTTTTAGCCCCTCCAAAACACCAAAATATGAAGTCGAAATTAACTGCCAATGACCTGTCAATAAAATAGGGAGCAATGTGGCCAGCAACAGAATGGGCAGGAGCTATCATTCCAAGCTTTTCCTCCAGACCAGGGGCAGTGGCCTTCAAAAAACATGAAGCACAAAGAAAATTAATCAAAAAGGAAACAGTAAACTTATTACGAGATACTGAGACACCACTCCAAGAAGTAGTGAAGCAACTTAAAACATGACAAACCTCTAAAAGTATATTAGACCAGGCCCTTTTCTTTATATCCATCAAGTTCATCCCTGCACCGTCAGATTCATCAATGCAAGCATATTTCCCTATCAGAAGAGACGCCATAAACGAACTAACAAGGGATATCCTCTCAGTGTTTTTGTAAGCTTCAGGATGTGTCTCGAATATCTTCCTAATCTGTGGGCCTGTGAATCTTTCATAACCTCGTGACCCTGTAAGTTGGGATAACTCTAACGCTCCACCAGCAGCCTTCTCTAACTCTCTACACTGGCCTGTGGTGCTGCTGTCCATCCATACTGGGGATTCATTGACCGAAAAGGCTCCACTAAACTGATCCACCAATGGCTTCTTAGGGTCCAATGATGACAATATTGAAGAACTACCATTCTTCCAATAGACACTGCCATGCTGCTGTCCACTGCCGGAAACAGCAGCAATTTTCCCAAAATCCAAATTTGCACTGGCAAGTTTACCAAGCACGAGATCTAGAGCTTCAACCCACATCAAGGTGGGTGAGACAATTCTACCATTAACCGAAGGGTCTCGGTAAACTCCATCTTTGGTTTCGTAATGGGGCAAATCAGTGTCAAATTGGACAAGCTCAGTAGTCACAATGTTGAGATTGGCGTCTAGCACAGTTGCCTTCAGAGACCTTGAAGTAGAAACCAATATAAATTAACAAAAGTAAAATCAAGTTTTACCAATTCAGATTACAGAGCAATCAGAGAATCACAGTCCCATAAGAAACTTTTAACTTCACAGAAACAATGAGAACCCACAACCATTAACAAGTACAGATCAAGTTTTACCCAATTCAGATTACAGATAATACTAATTAACTTCATTGTGGATGGATCATGGAATGCAGTAAAACAATGGGAACCCACATCCATAACCAAGCAAAACCATGAATTTATGATGTGGGTAATTGGGATTTTGTGATCAAAGAAAGATATGAAATTGCAGGGAGAAAAAGTGAGGGATTGGTAATTTACTGCGTAGAACTGTCAAATCCAAGAAAATAAGAGTCCTTCGGGAGAGAGTAATCTGCCATTGGAGCAAGCAAAACAAAGTCTGATGGATTCTGCTCTGAATTCAGGTTCACGAAAACTGGAAGGTGACGAGTGAAACGGAAATTGGTTGATAGATATGGCGATGTATTGGATTAAAGATTGTGGATTTTGGATAAGGATGAAAAAGGGATGGAATTGATATACCAAATGGATTGCGTTGCTGACACAAATCCCGGCCAAGCAAAATTGGAGTAGGAAGGTTCACTCTGCAACGGAAAAACAGGGAGAACCAGGTATATCGAACGATATTACTGGTTACTCCTATCTCATGATTTTATCGACGGTCGCTGATCGTTGAATTTGATATTAAAATTGAAATTAAAACGTTAAAAAACAGAGTGTGTGCGTATATCGTCATTTGTATCATCTTTCTAACAGATGTAAGCTTTATCGACACATTTTTGTCTCATTTTTATTAGAAAGATAGTACAAATAGATGACAAAAATAACATTTTTATAAAAAATATCAAATATAAACTTGTATTAAGGCTTACCTTATAACGTAAATTCATAATCTGAACCGTTCATTTGCTTGATAATTATTTATAAATTAGCCTTGTAAAAATTTACCCAATTCGAAAACCGATTAGCACTTTAATTATTTTTTGCGAATATTTCATTGTTTATTGTTAATAGTGCATTCATTTATTTATCAGATCATAGTAAGATTACTAAGCGACTTCCAATTTCATTAATTTTTTGCATGAATGATCTTTAAGCAACAAAATGATTGATTCAAATTATGAAAAATATTGTAGAGTGGAGCTAAATGAGTGATTAGTGTCTTATTAAGTTACTAACTGAGTAGCTCTTAAGCTCATCTGCATTAATATACATGAACTATTACTGACACTTAAAAATCTAATCATACATCCTACATAAAAGTAATTTTTTTTATAAAAAGTTTGGAGTGCATCCATTTCCAAGTAAAATAAATGAAATACTCTATTTGGATTTGAAAAGAGAAATTCTATGGCACACTTTAATACAAATGGGTGTCGGTGCTATTCAATTTGAATGTTAGTAGTGTAATACAATTATGTCCAAGTATGATATCCTACCTTTACAGTGTAATATGACTATAGTTAAATAATGTAGTGTGACATTATTATTATTATACAAGGTTGGTGGTTATATTCAATATGATATTATACTTGGACGTAATTGCATAACACTACTAACGTTACTATAACAATGCCCTTGAACGTGATTACATTACAATATGGATTGATATTATTGATATTATAAATGTAAGATATTATAATTGGACGTAATTACATTTAACAACCAACTTTCAAACTAGATGTTACCCATTCCTTTCTTTATTAAAAGGTGTCCTGGACTAAAATGTTCAATATGAGATCATCTCAGTTTAGGAGTATTATGGTTTGTGGCCAGCCCAGTTTGCTATTGTTGTGTTGCAAAATTGAGTGCTTGGTAAGTATTTCACTTTCAATTTTGTGGTGAGAATATTCACTTAAGATAAAAAAAAAAAAAAAAATTTGAGTGCTTGATAAGTATAAAATAAATAAAGACTGATATATATGAGGAATAATTTAATTCTTTATAAGTACATATAATGTTCATTCTTTTTTAATGCGGAATTCGTATTATCAATGTTGAATGATGTATCTCGATATGAGACTCATATTCGCATCATAAGAATCGACCCTTTAAATTTTATCTAGTGTTGTGGCTGTGCATAGTGATATAAGGACACAATTTAGCTCTTAGGGAGAACTTTTGCACCATGAACTTTGGTCCTTGTAATGCTTAGGACATCTCCAATGGTCCAACCATATTTAGCCGCCGATACAGCACATAAATATATAATTTATTACTATAATTTTCCATCTTTAGCAGTGTGGGCTACATTTTATTTTTGGGAAAACTAATGAAAATGACTTGAAAACTTTGAGTTTTAACAAAAATGACAAAATAAAAGATAAAGTGAATAGTAACAGAATTGACTTTTTAATGTAAAAATATGGTTTTTCGTTAAAATGAACTCGGGGGTTTTTCATTAAAGTTCATTTTATTCAATATTTTATTATTTCTTATCATATTGGAAAATATTATGATACAACACTCACACATTAACTACTATGTGTTGTTTAAGTTAATTAACTACTATTTGTATCCATTTAAATATAATTTATTAATGAATAGTGCAGAACTATAATTTTTCATCTTTAATATTGCATGGGATACATTTTATTCCTGTCAATATTTTTTTATTTTTAGCATGTTGAGAAATACTATGGTCTAACACTCATACATGAACTAATATGAGCTGTTTAAACTAATTAAACTACTATCGTATCTATTTAAATATAATTTTTCGAAAACATTGGTTTTTGTAAGAACATGTATATCAAAAATATCTATCGTTAGAGACAATATTTTGAATATGACCTGTGTAAGATTGAGAACGTTGAGCAAGATTTCATACATTTCGTTGAATGAATTTATTTTTTTTACATTTAAAAAAAAATTAATCTGGGTTTTTGGATTAAACAATCTTGTCATCTTGTGAAGAAAAAGTTGTGTGTGCAAGATAAAACATGCAAACTGCAACACATGATTGGTGCCATGTGTTGTCCAGAGTTCATGGGGTGCATGAACAGTGGTAGGTCATTCTCCTAAATGGGCCAAATGTAGCAAGCCCTCAAGAAATTGGCCCCTGATTTTTTTGTCCCTTCATTGGAGATGGGTTTTGGAGAAAAATGGGCCAAGTTTGAGATTTAGTACTTGTTTGGTACTTGAGTTCTTTTATAAAAAGTGGATATAAAAAAAAATCTGAGCTCATAAATATGTTTGGTAAATACTTAAAAACAGCTTATTTTCATATTTTTGGGTAAAAAAAGCTGAAAACGTGAAGCAGCAAAAATGAGTTTATTCTCAAAGCACAGCAGAAATAGTTTTTTTTCAAAGCACAACAATACCAAACCAGCCCTTAGTACTACTGGTTTGGTATTGAGGTGCTTTTATAAAAAGTGGGTATCAGAAAAAGCTGAGCTTACAAAGGTGTTTGGTAAACACTTAAAAACAACTTATTTTCACCAGTTTTGGGTGAAAGAAAGTTGAAAACGTGAACCAACAAAAATGAGCTTATTCTCACAACACAGCAAAAACAATTTTTTTTTTCAAAGCACAGCAATACCAAACTAGCCCTTAGTCCTCTATTAGAGATTGCATTAATCACCTAAATTACCATGTGCAACACTTTGCCGTCTAAACATTACAGTTGAACTAATAAACCAACTCATGTAAACTTTGCTACAATTTTTGTACACAAAATCATAGGAAATGTTTTCACAGCCTCATTATCTCGCCCTACACAAGCTCCCTATTTGTGATATTTGGATTGAATAGATTAGCAAAGTGATTTAAACGCCCTTATTCTTCTCCTACCTACCCCTATTAATTTCTGATAATTGGATCGAACAAGTAAAAGAAATCAATGGAAAAAAAATGATAGCTATATCTTGCCAGGTTGACTAAAAAAGCTATGTTTGGTTTAGTAGTTGTGCTAAATACAATAAAACACATATTGCACTTAGATATGATACTTATGGACCAATGACCATTTCATCATCTTCTTTTGAGTGAAATGAATTTTTTTTAATGTCAAGAGACCAGACAACCATTAGTGTGCTGAGTAGATAATGCCTAATTGCTTTAAGACTTTTTAATGTAAGTTGAATGACAGACCAAAGTTTCACTAATACAATGCTTGATATGCAATCTAAGACAATATTTTGTTTTTCCAAGATCTTTCATTTCTTGAATTTAAAATCGTCATGTAGGACATCACCGCGTGGTTGTCAAGTGGCCTCATGTAAGGGACAAGGATTCTCTCCCCTTCTATTTGAACGGTTACAGTTTAACCATGTCAACATCTTATATTGATTTTTTTTTATAGAGACAACAAGACAAAAAACAATATATGAGAAGAGGGGAGGGAAGGGGATGAACTTGGCATTCGTGTCATGTTTCTCGTGTTCGTGTCGTTTTCGTGTCATACCCGATAGCTTGACGGGTCGTGTCGTGTAATACCTGTTAAAGTAAACGGGTAATATGACCTGACCCGAAATCAACCTGTTAATATTATTAGGTAGTATGACCCGATCCATTACCCGTTAAGAAAAATATATTTTAAATCAATAAAAATGAAAATGAAAATGAAAAACATAATTTGACCCAAAAAAATGTAAAACATAATACTAAATTAATATATACATACTAAAATTTCGGAGTTGACCCCTTCATGAAAGTTGTAAGACTTTTCATTATGAATGATTACATTTTTCACGCTTCTACAATAATTATTATTAATTTTGCACTCAAATAAAAAACACTTTTCATGAGATTTGGAGAGTTTTAAAAATCTAAACGACTATATAACCATAGTCTAAGCGTTGAGGATGCAATTATGAACGTTTATTATGTTTTCACATCATTCAAACTTATACATTAATGATTATGAATTTTGTTTATTTTGAAATCCCTTAAAAATACTATTCATGAGAATTTGTATGGTTTTAAAAATTCAAATGATCATATACCCATTCTTAAAGCGTAGAGGATGCGACTACGACTACGAGCGTTTGCATATTTTTTTCATATTTTTTCGCACGTGTCAATTAATTATTATAATTTTTTTAATGTGTTTGGTATTTTTAAATTACTTGATATTTTTATTTTTAATGTGTTTTATGATTTTTAATCTCAATCTTTACCTATAATATACTATAAAAATAAATAAATAAATAAAACTTAAAATTTAAAATTTATATAGAATAATAATTAATAAACAATATATGCATATTCATTATATATATATTGTATTTTATAGTAATTTTTTTTAGTAGTTTAAAAAATTAAAACTATCAAAATAACTTTTTTCTTATCGTGTCGAAACAAATTACCCGCATGTCACTCTTGTGTAAACCTGTTAAGGACCCGTTATTAACGGGTTATTATCGTGTGACCCAATAATGACCCGATTAGTTATCTTGTTGACCCGAAACCCGTTATTTTCTTATCGTTTACGTGTATTGTTAACAGATCGTGTAAGAAATTGCCAGATCTAAATGGGAATAGGAGGGAGAGAATCCTCCTCCCATTTTCGGGGCCATTTCCACCACACCCTCTCTTTGACATTGAGAACCAAATCAAACACCTTTTCTTTTTCTTGTGGAACCAAGTCAACATTTGGTCAAACAAACTTGGCAATCTCTCCCCAATTTTCTTTTGCCGTGAATTGGGATGAGACCATCGTTTATATTGGTAGACAAACCAAAGCCTAAACCTATACAAAGGTTGACTGAGATCTGCCCAACGGTCCAGGAATAACTGAAGCTAAGGAAGCTCCATTGCTCGTGAGGTTAGTCAACTAATTAGATTACAGTTCTCCAGTTTTTGGTGTTAATCTTGTAACTCTTTGAGTTAATGTAAGTGATATGGCGTCTAACATTTAGAGACTTAAACACGATCGAGTTCATGAAAATATAACTACTATAGATACAAGTCTTTGTAATCCAAGTGTATTGACTATAAAGTGAATATGTGTAGCTCTGTGTGTGTAGCCTTTGAGCTTCACATCTCCAAAGTTGTTCGAATTACGTAGTTTTGGTGTTTTATACACGCGATACTTGATTATAAAGTGAATATGTGTAGCTCTGTGTGTGTAGCCTTTGAGCTTCACATCTCCAAAGTTATTCGAATTACGTACTTTTGGTGTTTTATACACTTTATACACGCGATACTTGATTATAAAGTGAATATGTGTAGCTCTGTATGTGTAGCCTTTGAGCTTCACATCTCCAAAGTTATTCGAATTACGTAGTTTTGGTGTTTTATACACGCGATACTTTCGTCATTGATCATCGCGTCATGTTTCCGCTGTGAGCATTTTCTTATATCCAACACGCTTTTCATTTTACTTTTTGTTCTCTCTCTGTGTTTGTGTAGAAGTTAATAGATGGCAGAGATTGTTTCTGGACTTGCGAGTCCGATAGTGCAGCTCGGTGAGTGGTTATGGATTCCAGTAAAGCGCGGGTTGAGTTACATGATTCACTATAAGAAAAACATACAGTCTCTTAAACTTCAAGTGGAAAAGCTCGAGGCAATGAAAAATGGTTATCAAGAAATCGTTCATGCTGTTCAAATGAATGGAGAAGATGTCAAGCCTGAGATTCAAATATGGCTACAAGATGCTAATAAGGCCATAGCAGATGCAACACAATTAAATAATGAAGCCGAGGAAGCAGCTAAAAATTGCATCACCGGAAATTTGAGATGGCGTTACACTTTAGGAAAGAAAGTAATGAAGAAGAAAGTAGCTTTAAACAAGCTACAAGAGGAGGGAAAGTTTGAAACTATTTCAGTTCCAGTTATGCGGCCAATTGAAATCGAGTCCACAATGTCAACGAATGGTTTTGAAGCATTTGCAGCGACAAGACAAGCCATGGATCAAGTCATGAAAGCGCTGAAAGATGATAAGGTCACCGTCATTGGGGTCTATGGAATGGGAGGTGTGGGTAAGACAACCATGGTGAAAAATGTCGGTGTGCAAGCTTGTAGAGATGGACTCTTTGATCATGTGATTATGGCTGTCTTTACCCAAAACCCCAACTTGATGAAAATTCAAGGTCAGCTTTCAGACATGTTGGGCTTGAAATTGCAGGAGGAGACAGAATTGGGAAGAGCATGTAGACTGAGGAATAGGATACTAAGAGCGAAGAGGACGCTCATAATTTTAGATGACATTTGGAATACATTATTAGATTTGATCAGCATTGGGATTCCGAACCACACGGAGCTTCAAGGATGCAATTCCAAAGTCCTTCTCACCACAAGGAGATTAAATGTCTGTCATGCCATGGAAAGCCACGTCAAAATACCTCTCAACGTCCTATCTGAAGGAGATTCTTGGAACTTGTTTGTCAAGAAAGCGGGAAAGTCTTTTGAATCGGCTGCTTTCATCAATATAGCAAGAAAGGTAGCTAGAGAATGTGCTGGTCTTCCGATAGCATTGATAGCAGTTGCAAGGGCACTTGGAGATAAAGACATTGAGGAATGGAAAGAAGCAGCTCGACAACTTGAGATGTCCCGACCTGCCAACCTTGAAGACGAGGGGGATGTGCTCAGATGCATAAAGTTGAGCTATGATTACTTGAAAGGCGAGGATGCCAAGTCATGCTTCTTGCTTTGCTCCCTATTCCCAGAAGATGGTAAAATCCCAATACAAGACTTGTTTAATTATTGGTTTGGGAATGGATTGTTTCGAGATGGCAAGACACTGGAAGAAGCCAGAGCTAGAGCACATTCAGTGATCAAGTACCTTAAAGCTTCTAGCTTGCTTTTGGACGGCGAAAGGAAAGAATACGTCAGGATGCATGATGTCATACGCGATATGGCCATATCAATTGCATTATCAGAACAGGACCATGAGTTTTTAGTAAAAGCCGGTTGGGAATTGGAGGACTGGCCAAATGATGTCGATGAAGGCTGCTCCGCAATCTCACTAAAGAGCAACTGCATTTGCAAGCTTCCGGAAGAATTGGTATGTCCAAGACTCCGAATTTTACTTATAGATGATAATCTTAAACTAAAGAAGATCTCAGAAGCTTTTTTCCGAAGTCTGAATGCATTAAGGGTCTTAGACCTTAGCAGCACTTGTATTTCGTCACTGCCCTCTTCGCTCAATCTCCTAACCAACCTTCAAACATTGCACCTAGATTCATGTTGGTCATTAAAGGATATTTCCGTACTAAGAGAACTAACCAAACTTGAGATCCTTAGTCTGAAAGACTCGCGTTTTGAGGAATTGCCAAGGGAAATAGGAAACTTGGCCAATCTGAGGTTGTTGGATTTTGCTGGGAATACAATGATTCAGAGAGTTCCATCCAATGTGATATCTAGGCTGTCTCGGTTAGAGGAACTATACATGCAAGGTAGTTTTGGAAATTTTGGGAGTAGAATTGAAGGAGCAGGAGAAGAAACTAATGTTGGATTCGATGAGCTAACTTGCTTGTCGTACTTAAGTAATTTGACTGTTCAGATTCATTCTGCAGAATGCATTCCCGAAAATGTTGGCTTCCATCCAAATTGGGAAAAATTTTACATACTCATCAAGAGTCAAACAATACCCCTACATAAGGTTGAGTATTATGATTTTAGTAGTTCATATGGTTCAAGAATCTTGGCTCTTGATACCACAATCAATAACTTGCCTAGTTGGTTTAACAGTGCAGTGACCGAAAGGGCAAAGAAAATAGTCTACAAAGAATGTAGGGGCTTGATTAACATTATCGAGGAATATGCCATTGAGAGACTACATGAATTGATGTCTCTTCATGTCGAAAGTTGCCATCAGATGCATAGTTTGATGAACTACACGGCCACAAATTTGGTTCCGAATAAGCTCGTGTTCAAGAACTTGGAAGAGTTGTGTGTGAGTAACATGAATGAGTTAAAAGAGTTATGTGTTGGCGACTTACCAGATGGATCTCTAGGCAATCTGACGTTATTGGAAGTGAAAAAGTGTCACGCCTTTGCGAATGCACTTCTCCAATCAAATTTGTTAGAGAAACTCGGGAGTCTGGAAGTACTTATTGTTGATGGTATGAAAAGTTTGGAATACGTGTTTCAATCCGATGGACTCAAACCGGAGCAAACTGTCATGGGAAAATGCAGAGAGATGAAGCTGGAGGATCTACCAGCACTGAGAAACATATGGAATGGCCCCGCGCAACACGCGACGTTCCATAATCTTAAAATTTTGACAGTTGCATGGTGTATGAAACTGAAGAACATCTTCACAGCGGATGTGTCTCGGTGTCTTTCACAACTGGAAGAGCTGTGGCTTTCCGAGTGCGATTGCTTGGAGACAATTATCGGACCGAGCGAGGGAGCATTGAACAACAAGATCATTTTGCCACAACTAAACTACTTATCGTTGCAGTGTCTTCCACGGTTCAAGAGCTTTTATAGCGGTGCGAGTACTGATGTCGAGTGCCCTTCAATGGAGCATTTGTATGTACACTACTGCCCGGAATGTTTAATCTCTACGTCGGACTTCAACAGCCGGAAGGAAGTCCAAGTCAATGCAGACCAGCAAGTGCTCTTTGGCCCCAGAAAAATGTGCGTACGTTTTTCTTCTTGTTTGGATTTTGTACTTAAATTATCAAGCTGTAACTAATGGTAAATTAAACCACATGCAGAAAGGCTTCGTACTCGATGACCAGAGAGACTCCTACATTGATTGACGACGGCTATGCTTGGAAGAATTGCGGACAAGATGAGATCCCCGGTTCTGATCACCCAAGGTATAATACCACTTTTTTACACTTTTTTTGCACACGTTTTTGTAAGGCCCACTCTGTAATGTATTTAACAATTTGAACCGTCTTTCTTTTAAACCATCACTCACATTCTTGCAAAAAAATTGACAAATCCAAACTATTAAGACATTTATTTGTAGTGAAGAAAATTGATAAATACGGTTTTACGAAGAAACCCTAAACCTTTAATCAAACAGTTATATAGTTTCAGAGTAGGGTGATTTTTGGTTGACAAGATCTTTAAAGGAAGACCTAAAAGATAAATAGTTTAGATCGTTAAAACACATTATAAAGTTGCTCTACAAAAATTTATGTAAAAAATTGTATAAAAAAAGTGGTACCACGTGTCCGTCACGTATATAAGCTTTCTTTGATCGACTATTGACCACAAGAATTCTGACTTCATGTTATATCCACACAGGATCTACTATCGATGCATTCACAAGTTCAATAACGACTGCCAAGCAACCAAAGAAGTGCAAAAATTTCGAGATGATCCGCCAATGTACGAGACTACATATTTTGGCATTCATACATGCAGGGCACATCCTAATTACATTTGACCATCTGTGTAGGTTAATTACTCTTACAACCCCTGAGTTTTTTCATACTTTCATAAAACTTCAAGAGATCTCAAAAAACAGGAATCGTTTTCGCAAAATCCTTTGCGTGCACAAAATAAGTACATAAATTACAAAATTTCCTCCTCGTCCCTATATCTTTTATTTCGTCAAATTTGGTCCGCGTGGTTTTCAATCTGTGCCAATTTGAGGACATCCGTAGTGTCATTTGGTGCTGAAATTAACCAAAGTGAACAGATGTTCTTGAACTGGAACAGATCCGTAACTACAATAACCAAATTCGATGAAATCAAGCGTCTGCGCAAACTATCGGGACTAAAATCTTGCAAGAAGTATTAGTTTTCCGAAACTACGGATTATAACTACTACCTATTCATAATTCCAAATGAAATGAACAAAGGGAAAAAAGATAATAGCTGTACCAAATCTTATTACTTCGCACCTAATCAAACTCTGCAGGTTGCATTCCCAATCTCTACTGCCTGCTTAAATACACGATCCTTTCGACGGGAACTGTATCAAAAGTTACAGAATCTAACTAGCCTAGAATATTATGGTCCACGGGCTCGTGGCATTCCTAGAAACTTCACGTTGAGGTTGAGCCAAACAATGGCACAACTTCTACCCATAAAATGAGTTCTAAAGCTGATAATTTACAACAGCAGATGTCTTCAAGCATTTGCTCGTCCTCAATGCAGAGAAAGACGTGATGCCACCATTCAACACCCCACCTCCAAAAGAAAACTTCCTCACTTGGTCTTTTGATTGAAGGGAGGGATTACCAGATAGAGATGGGCTAGAGGAGAAGCTGCATTTGCTAGCAACAGCCATTACCGAAATATGTCTGGAAAAGACCACATGATGAATCTTGCAAAAATGTCGGACTCCAAAAACTCAATATGAGCAGCCCTTCCTATGAAGGTGTTCAAGTTCTTTCCATAAGAAGAGGTATCAAAGTTGATGTCACAGCGCATGAACACTCGATTCTCAGACTGAGGGGCCCGTATCTGTTCCAAGCAATCACTCAGCATTTCCTGAAACACTTTTCCCTTCCTTGAGAAATCCAATGAAGCAGCCTGGCACGTATCTATTCTAGCGGAATGGTAGGGAACATAACCATCCTGCAAAACACGATCCATAATATTAATTTATGGGTATGAGAGGAAAATGCAACAAACTATTAAAGAACTTTTTTTTCTGTTACAAGAAAAAGTCACTCTCAATTCGAATAACATAGATATCATGAGAATAATTTTGCCTCAAAATACGATATTTAGAATATGAAGAGCAAAGAAGTTTCATGAGATTTTAGCTCTTCCAATTTCGCGCAAGTAGATTGCTGCATAATTCTAAGACATCGACTGAAAGGTACACTTCAATACAAGTGTTTCTATGACACATCAAAATAGATAAAGAGACGAAACTGGTATTAAGAGTTCCTCCCAAGCTAACATTAAATCTTTCAGTATATGGAGCAAAAGCAAAGAAATAATGCATGTTGTCCTAGTAATTTAGACCCTGCTCATTATTGAAGCACGAATAGTTCACCAATGCAAAATCTAGCATAATGAGCATGTTTTGGAACCAGAGAACAAACTAAAAGAAGGGTTTTACAGGTCCGAGTTCACCAAGGTCCATAGAGTACTGCTCACATGAATACCAACTGAATGAGCACACTGAGTTTTTAATTAGTTCAGCAGTAGGATAAAAGCCTACAGGTTGAGGATGGATGACAAACAAGTCATTTCTTTTTGGTCAGGAATTCAGGATAATAAACAAGTCATATGGCAATTGAACTGTTAAACATAGTAGCTCACATGAGATCGTAGGTGCTCAAACTGTCAAACATAGTAGCTCACAAGAGAATTTATGGTCCGTGGATAGACCAATTGCATGTCAACTTGATGGAAAACAGCAAAGAGAAGCAACCAAAACAATGTGTTTCAATTAAGTAAACTAAGTTATGAAACCCCCAGGGAAGAGATCAAGATACCTGTGGTGAAGATAACAGGACTATGTGCTTGAAATTCTCAAGTGTCTTCTTCTGCAAAAAGAATTCCTTTAGAACATCAGCAAACAAAAACATCACAATTGTCACCATTTTTTTAAAACCAGGTTATAATTATAAAAATTAAAAAATTAAAAAAAGTCATGTTTGCCTTGACTTTGAATTACAGAAAAATGTATTGAGTATGCAATACTATTATTAAACTTTAAAAGGAAACAAAAGGCCATTATTAATATCATGATTTGATTACATTTCCCAAGATGATGAGCAGCTATCAGGCAAACACCTGATGGCTGAGCTAAATGCATTAAATACAGGAATTCAGTACCTTACACAGCTTGTAAAAGAACGTATTTTGAAGATCTGGATCATCCGTGAAGGTAAGCTGATGAATGCACTGTGTGTTCTTGAGCTTCTTCAAGAGCCACAGCCCGGAGTTGAATAAAGAGTTTGAACTGTAAAGATACCCCAAGTGTGGGCCCGATATGGAAAGATATATGTACAGGTATCTTAGGAATGGCTCCATAATGCTATCTGCAAAAATGATGGCCAATATCTTACACTGACTGCATATAATGGGAAAACATGACGTCAGTCGTTTGATACCTGTTAGTGCCGTTCTTATGATAACATTCCCAATAGAATGTCCCACAAAGCTAAGCTTAATATCAGCTATGTTTCCGGATCTCGAAACTTTATCCATTTTCTTCTTGAGGAAAGAAACTACTTCCTGAGCCAACCTTTGTCCCATTTCTCTGAAGTCACCAGATGTTTTGTCTTCATTTGCCTGTGACATTAGAAACTCTACCTTGGGATCTATCAATAGCCATTGATTTCGAATAAGCCGTAAATCCAGGTGATGACCCTGTAGTGTGAGAACTGTAATAAGCATCCACTTATCTATCTTTAATAAAAATGCAGTACAAAGTACAAATAAGTAGACTTATGTAGATGTTCCATCAACTAAACTGTTATGAAGTTGTAAACTTGCAGCATAAAACATGAATGACCAACAAATGAATATTTTAACCCATAAATCACTAACGTTTAACTCCCTTTAAAAACCAAACATACACCGACTAACACAACCAAAAACTTTTATGATCACTACGTATACAAAGTATTTTGAACCTCCATAAACATAAGTTATTACAAATAGCTAGCAAGTTTTAACCTAAATTCAAATTGATACCTTGACTAGTTCAAAATTGTTAATATTTCTACTTAAAAAAAAAAACCTAAAAAAGTCTGTCACATGATGAAAATACTGGAGGGGAGCAAGAAAAGAACAGAGAAAACAATGAAATATAAAAAAGAAAAAAAAAAGGAAGCTATAAGATGAAAATACTAGCCTGAAACCCATGCACAAAGACAACAAGTTTTAAAACACGGCCTTTCTTTGGTGAGATATAGTCAGATTTCTTGTTTATGGAGTCAGACCCAGATCCACTGAGTAAGCCAGCAGAGTTAACCACGTCCAAGTTTCTCAAGTACGAATTATCACTAGTTGTACGCCAAGGCGCATTCAACACACGCTCCACAATAACAATAGGAATGCGTGATGTATCTCCAAATATATGCATGTCTTGAATTGACCGATTGTTAATCTGCATTGAAAAATCCAATTTAGAGAAAAAATTGAAGAGGACAGACAATACGTCACTTCATCTGAAAGCAATGACTCACCTTCATTTGCGCAATACTTCGCCGATGAAGCTCAGCACGGGTAGCAGCAGTCTGTGCAGGCTGTACAGAACAAAAGTTAGATCCCTAAAAGATGCATTGGAATCTAAATTTGGCTCATAACTGAACTCTGCACAAGGAAGATTGAACACCCCCTTGACATTTCTTAAAACATGTTGGACAATTTTTACTCATCACTAACAAATCATGTGGAATACTTACATCATCAGTTAATTTCCACGTGGTTAAAACCCTTTTATGGCCACCATTGTGGGAAGACTCTTCACCCCGACTACTATTTAGAAAATGATGAGGCATCTCAACCTTAGAGTAAACCATCCATATTGACCATTCAGCTTTTCTATCCTTAGCCCATGTGTCACGCAAGTATTCCAGTATCTTTGTTGTGTTAAACCTGCAATGAATAAATATCACCATACAAACAAGTACCGAAGATCTGGAAATCAGATCAAGAGGAGCTAGTATTCCTTTTATTTATTGTGTGTACGAATAGGAGATTAATCAAGGCTATATTGACTATAACACCTTATTGGTATTGCACGTCCGTCAATTAAATAAAGGGGCATCCACTCTAGACCCTCATATGGAGGCCCTTTCTCTTAGAGAGTATGCCTGTTTCGGTATACATAGATGACATATATACATATTATACCCTGTGGTTTGCTACATATGTCAAAGTCGAATTCAAATTTCTCCTCATATAAAAGCTAAAACCACGGCTAGAAAATCAAACTTCCTAAAAATCTAATTAAAACCCTACTAAAATCCTAACTAATGCACTTTAAGTCCTCATTAAATAAATGTTTTCAGTGTAATAAATAACGCCATATTTAAAAATCAAACAAAAGCCAATATCACCTAACGGATTTATGCTTTGATTTATAGTGCAGACAAATCAATGTATTAAAAGCGTGAGGCGTGGGCGAGGTGTCCAAGGGGAAGCCCGGCCTAGGCGTGAGGCGTGAGGCGAAGCCTCATGGAACCTAAAATTTAAATATATATTACATGTAAGTATATTTATAACAATATAATACTTTGTAAAAACAAATATAACTATAACTAAATCAAAGATAATATCATCTTCTTTATTACTAAGTCTAGTTGTACTTGGAAACTATGTCATATAGCCCCAAAATGTTGTAATCATTTATTTTATTGTAAGCAATTACAGAGAACTTCAAGGAAAATAAGGATGAATGGTCACAATTATAGGAAAATTTCAAGCAAAATAAAGGCTTAACGTTGCAATTATAAGTAATTTAAAAGGAAATAAAGGCTGAGTGAAGTAGTTATAGGGTATTTAAAATGATATAAAGCAATAATTATGGGAATTTGAGGAAAATAAAGGGTTGAGTGGAGTATTTATAGGGTATTTAAAATGAAATACATGGGCTGGAGTATTTATAAGGTATTTAAAATGAAATAAATGATGAAAATAAAGAGTTGAGTGGAGTATTTATAGGGTATTTAAAGACAAAAATTAAAAAACAAACTCAGCCTAAAAACCCTAGCCGCTGTCTTCATCTCCATCTCCATCTCCTTCGCTAGTTTCTTGGTCTGCAACTCAAAAACAGCCCTACAACTAAAAGAAATCCAGATTTCTGCAACCTAAAAAAGAAAAAGGGGCGCCCAGTTGACGCCTCAGGTGCCTAGACGCGCCCCGACGAGCCTAGGCGAGTATTTCGCCCACTCCCACAAAACAGAGGCGAAAATGGTGAAGCCCCGCCTCCAAGGGAGCCTAGGCGCGCCCCGAGGCAAGTTTTTTAAAACACTGAGACAAATCAATGCGCACATCACTCCATCCATCTCTCCTGTCCTACGTATTTAACATATCATTTCCAACAACACTAATTACTATAACTAAATTTAAATATTTTATTTTCAACACAATTTAAATTTAAATATAAAAATAGGCCATAAGGTGTTGAGCCCTTACATGGCGGCGTGGGTTCAAACTCCGTTGGTGGCTAGTCTAACATCTAATCTAACAAATTCACATAAACACATAAACACTTACACCTGGAACGTGAGCTGGGGTGAGACTGATTTGGGAGGTGTGTGGGAGGAGTGGTGGCTGGGGTGTGGTCAGGCGGGATAGATCAGGGGAAATGGGATGGGGGGTTCTGGGCTGGTGTTCCAGGTGGATTGAAAAGACTAAATACCCTTACTTTGACTAAAGACAACAAACGTTAACCACAAAGGCCATATTTACAAAATGGAAACCACATTACTAATTTAACAATTATAGCAAATCACAGGTCCATTTATAAATTTTGGACAGACACACACGTGTATCATGTACATATGAAAATCTATACAAAAAAACATTCAAGTGTACACGTCTATGATTGGGACCGTCAACCAGTATTGCATTGTTTCAACTTAAAAAACAATAAAAAAAACCATAAAACCATAATAACATTGTCAAAGTAAGCGAACCTGTGGAACTTCAAAAAAGTGTTCCATAAATATAAAACTTGATCACCCAACGAATGAAAAGAATTCTGAAGGGCATCCCTCGATAAGGGGCGTACCAATTCACCACTTCCAAACTTTGATGTGCCATTTACTTTCTGTCAAAAACAGATATAAGTAAGGAAAAATACAAACCTTAAAGCATAGAAATTCCTAATAAAAAGGATAAGAACATTGTGCTGTATGAAATAAATAAGGACCTGAAGACCATTTTGTGGCTTGCCTTGTCCTGAAACTTTGTCATCTGCTGCAACCAAATTTTCTTGCAGGAAATCAAACTTTGTGTCATCAATTTTAGATATAAAATCAGTCAAATCAATTGCTTGGTCAATAGCCTTGCTAAGTTTCTGGAGCTCTTCAAGCAGTATGTCACGAGCATTTAACAATGATTTAGCACGAATAATGTCGTTCACAACTGCAGCAGCCGCCTGTGTTGATGCCTAGTCAGTCACAAATTTTAAATTGTAAGTATATAATCAAACAGCCTCTGAAGAAAAGAGCAAATAAAAAGTAAAAAACAGATTGAGAATACTCAAAACCTTTCATATCCCATGTTGGGTACATAAGCACTTTGTTTCAAACACCCATCTATAATCTATATTGTGTTCAGCACCATTTATTGTCAATGTACTTCTCCACGTAACTTTAAAACCTTGAAAACACTACTAAATCTTGCGTATCACAGAAAGTTTTTGTTATTCATTCACCCTTTTCCTAAATGCATGGCTTGTTTAGTACCTATTTGGTGAGAACATCAGGCCAAGAACTTTTACTCAACCTTGAACAAAGTTTAGATTTTAATTTTCTACATTGATATCACTTTGCAGACAATAGATGTGTACTTTTCTACTTTCCAAGACAGGTTATTTATAAATCCATATCATAACCATTTTGTAATTATGTATTAGTGCTTCTCAGATATGCAATCCCAAAAAAGTAGACATAGCCTGTTCATTAGTCAAGTCTGCTCGGTGAATTTGTTTAGTCTTTTTGCATCAAACAAAAAGTCATTAAGTGACATTCATATTATATGATTTAGATCTTAATATAATGTGAAGGACTTCCACTGAATGGTATCCTGATCTAGAACAAAGCTATTTCAAATGAATGTTTATGACAATTTATATAATAAGCAAACGCTAAGGATATCTGTAAGAAAAAAGCTCCAAGGATATTGAATAAATTATGGACAGTGAAAATAATTCAAATTGTTGTAACTAAGGAAATGACTCATAAAGTTCTCTAATATGAAAATATAAAATTAATGCTAATATAAAGTCAATTCCTAAAAACTGCAATGTGTATACAAAAGCATATCCATAGGTCCCACAACCATACAGAATTTCGTGTGCATACATGTGCCCAATCGTACGATGTTTGTGTTCTGGTATTGTGTGAAGGCCCTTGGGAAGTGCATGTGTATGCACATGTTGTTGATATTGTCAATACAAAGTACGTGAAAGAGAGAAGGAAAGATGACAAACAGCCTATAAGAAAACACTTCTAAAAGAGATAAAAATTCAAGAGTGAAAACTGCCAAGCTTCCCAAGGGTCAGAAAAAGGATCTAGTAGAATTTAATGGGTAACAACGTACTTGATTTAACCCAGAAAGACCTTCTCCACCAACATCTTCAGTAGTGGAAGAATAACTGAAATAATTCAAATATCGAGTTAATGCTACAAATAAATTGTGCACAAGAATTAGTTTCCAATATCGCAAGAGTACTAATCCCCAAAATGAATGCCAAAGTACTTGATAGACTAGAATATGTGACAAACCTGGGTACCTTCGATGGGTGTGTATAAGAGACAGCTTTCAGTAGACTGATGTGTACACTAACATCAACAAGCACCGCATGGAATGCATCAAAATGAACAGGACAATATGAATGCAAACCCAGAAGAGCTTTAGAAGGAATTCGAAATTCATGGACAGCGGCAGGGCTAGCATCTAGAGAAGCCTGCAAGTCAGACCTGCAATTATACAATACAGTCACGAACTCCAATTTCCATTGCAAACTTAATCATGTAAGAAAAGAAAAAGAAAAGAAAAAATATGAACCATGTCAACTCACCTATTTCCCAATATGGGGGCATGCAGAAGCTCAAACTTCAAAATAATAGGAGATGATGATATACCCTGAAAAGTATACACCATAAATGAATAATTTATATAAACATTTCTACATTCTACTGGCCAAAATAAAATATATAATCCTCAAGTTACAACACATGTTTTCCCAACAAAGATTCTTGAAAAGTAATCTAATTCTTTCACAAACCAGTATTTTTTTTTGTTATTTTTAAGAATTTGACCTGCTTGCCTTTAAGATAGTAAGAATGCAAATGGGACCTTTCAGCATTCAGAGGAAATAAGATAAGGCCAAATAAAAGCTAAGGCTAGTTTTCAATGTTGTAATGAATGTAGGTAACCAACCCAGATACCAACATGTTATGAGGGCTACTATCTTCAATAAAATCCTTATACGTCACAAATGCATGCAAACACACATAGATGCGCACAGAGAGGGAGTGGGAGAGAGTTTATACTACCTCATGTCCGGCAAGAGATAGATTGAACGATATCATGATTGATAAAAAAACGTCCTGCCTGGCATATTTGATACGAAACGGCTGAGTTGAGAAGCTGTTGTCTGTATCATCAATCCTCCATACTCCATATACATCATCAGAACCCAGATCAGGAGCTGCCAGTCAAATAATATAATTATCTCTAAGCTCTTGCCTCTTTAGTTTATGAACAGAGCATTACTTAAATGCCACAAGCTTATTGAAATTTTTATTCAATGAAGCAAAACATATCTATGTGCCTAATAACATGATATAAAAATATTTAATCATGTAAATATTAAAAAAGTGGTCCACCCAGTGGCCACTATTTATTTTTTGTAATTTGTGAGAAAGAGACATTTGCTCGCAAACAGATGGAATAAAACTACAAACGGATGCAAGAGTCGAGGGGACCACTACAAAAACAGAGAAACCAAAACGAAGAGAGTAAACTAGAAGGCTATCCCACAACAACACCCAATGGTCAATATGGGGAACAAAGAAGGAAACTGTGGGTGGATTCTTCTTTACTTTTCTATTAACTGTTTTAACTTTGTTCAAGGGTTATTTGTAAACCATGAGGATATCCAATGATATGTTGGCAAAAATAGATGGACCTGAGTAGGTCATGTAATGTTTTGACTCTACACTATCTATCATTTGAAATATAAACCAAAGAAAGAATAACAACATAAAGCAAACAATGAAAACCTAGCTCTTAAACGGCAGCAACCAACTTGTGATAAATTGAGAAAATTGAAAAGGAGAATCCATTGATCATTGAATATACACTTTCAATGTAAAAGGGAATTGTCAAAACTTCTAGGGCAGTTTAAGATATTTCAAGAACCAGGTTTCAAATTTTACTTAAAACCATCATTGCAACATATAACAAGGTAAAACTTGTAAATTTCATGCTGCATTACAACATTTTGGCTTAACCCATAAATAACTTAGCAAAAGCTCTCATACCATCAAGTAAGTTACCTTCATATTGCACAACTCTTGCTGGAGTCCCCACAGAAGTATATTCACTGTCCTCCCATCTCATTGTAATCTTAATTTGGTACCATCTAAACAAGCAAAATACAGAAAAGTTAACAAATTCCCATAAATTCAACTAAACAAAAACAAACACAAGCAAGGTCAAAATACACCAATTAACATCAAATGGTGGATTGCACCCAATGGGATACCGCTTTCCTCCAAAACCCATTGCGTCCCTGGTTCAAAACGCACCCTGAATTCACAAAATACAGATAGAAACAAACATACCCTTGCTGGAAAAGGTCGAGATTGTGAAATCTGTGAATGTAAACAGCAATCTCTTGAACGGCGTCCAACATAGCCACCGGCTTAATCTCAGCCGGGGGAGGCTTGGCATCTGGCAACCTCTTTGCTGATGACGATGGTGATTTATTGTTCAGACCCACAAGCCACCCCAAATGCCGAAACATGCGTAACACCACTCCCCAAAATTTGCATCCCTAGTCCACAAACACTTCCGATTTCAGCTCCAGCTTCCCGCCCTAATCCTCAGCAAATATCACCATCTCAGGAGCTCCATTTCATGGCGGAATTGACCCGAATGTGCTGCCGACGAAGAAATGTGACTGTGTGGGCGAGAAGGAAATTGGCACTGGCAGCTAGGGTTCGTAGAACATGGGATTCATCATTTGTAGTCAGAGAAAAAAGTCAGAGAAGGGAAGAAAATATCACGGACCTCATCAACGAGTAATTTTTCGGTGTACCCGGTACACAAAAAAAATTTGGTGTACTCTCACTCATAATTGTCACTTTTTGTACACCAAAAAAATTCTAATGAGTGAGGGTACACCAAAAAAATTTGGTGTACCCGGCACACCTAAAAATTTTTCCTCATCAACGAGCAATCCAATGCGCTAATTTTGCTTCTGCTCTTTTACAATATTATCCTTGGCGACCAAACCCATTGCCGATCAAAATTGGTATTTCCGTTATCTTACGAGGTTTTAGGTTCTTTTTGCAAATTCAAGAGCTTCAAAATTGGTATTTTTGTCATCTTAGAGGGATTTTTAATTTTTTTTTTTTTTTAACAAATTCAGAGTATTTAATTAAGATTTTAAAAGATTAAGGTGGATTGGAAACTATGTCGTTGTGAGATTGCAGAGAAAGAGTAGGGATTGGGTTTAGTCTTATACAATAAAGAAATATCATTAAACTGTAGCGTTAATTTCAAACCTAAATTCAGGTACTAAGGGTGGATTCTAGTACATTGCACTCTGGGTCAAAGGATTCCAGCAATGGTGCCAAAATGTCTACACCAATTTTCCATCCAATTTTGCATATCCATTCAGAAGATCTTGGCGATAGTAGATGAAAGTGTCACAGTCCTTTGGCTATGCACCCATATCATCAGAGTCACGTAGTTGATTGCTGACACTGGCTTTGCACTTGAAGATGCGATTTCTTTGATAGGAAAATTGAAAACAAGTCAAAAAAGTTGAAGTTGGGAGAGGTTTGGAAATATTCAAAGATTTCTTTTACTTAGAGATTCTTTGAAAGCATACGAAATGAAGAAGAAAAATCCAAGATATTTATAGGAGATATTTTCTGAATCGTCTCGTTGTTGAATCTGGAACGTCCCACCTCAAGATCTATCCATTCAACGGCTGAAATCACTTAGTACCCATGTTTCTCGTGCAGACATGAAGTGACATCTCTCATCATTGATATTTTTATGGCATGACTCGAGATCACACCCCTGAATCCAAAACGTCTCACTACCTTCCAACGATAACGAGACCAGATTGTCAAGCGTCAAAGAATATCATATATTAGCTATTTCTATTTACTTCGAAAGACACAGTCTTTAAATAATTATCTATCTTCAAGCATAACACCTTGTTAGATACATAGTCAGGGCATTTGTGGGACCATGAATTTTCAAAGGCTAGAGTAAGGCAAATTAGAATACGTGTACTTCAGAAGTCCGATCATGGGCTTAACAGCTCTTATTGGATTAAATTGCTCAAACGAACCAGTGATGCCACCACATCCTACTGTAATCCAGAAAGATGTAGGTGAAGTGTGCCGTGTTCGCTGAAATTGACGATTCTTATTCTACAAGGCACGAAAGCCTGATCTGATTGGGGATCAGACAACTTTCCTATATTCTTAGATATTCCTACAATCTAAGGATTGGCGCGTAACGCAAGTAATCACATTCCTAAGAGGAAACAATATCTAATCCTAGATATTCTTGTGAACACGGAAAATTCCTGAAACAAAAATACAAGAATACGTGTACAAAATAATATTTTTTGTGTTTAATGATGTTGGGGTTACGATCTCTTTGTAATTTGATCCTCTGATTCTATCTCCGTAAGATGTAGATTTGTTGATCCAAGGGCCGTCGAGGCTTGATCTTGGATGAACAGTTGTAAGTTTCTTCAATGGCCTTCGTGGCTTTGATCTTGAAGGTTGATGAAAGTTTCTTCAAGGGCCTTCGGGGTTTGATCTTGAAGGTTGATGGATGAGCGGATCTTCAAGGGCTTTTGGGCTTGATCTTGAAGAACGGTTGGTTTTCTTCAAGGGCTTTTGGGCTTGATCTTGAAGAATGGATGTGTGGATTTGTTTGTTGATCCAAGGGCCATCGGGGCTTGATCTTGGCTGAACGGATCTTCAAGGGGGCTTTTGGGCTTGATCTTGAAGAATGGGTGTATGGGTTTGTTTGTGCTGTTGATCCAAAGGGTCGTTGAGGCTTGATCTTAGGATGAACGGATGATGAATGATGAACACTTTCTTCAAGGGGCCGTCGGGGCTTAATCTTGAAGAATGGGATTTGACAAAGAACGAAGAGTACTTTCTTGATCCTTCGGGATTTTCTTGAGAGTTTTAGAACTTTAAGGCTTCAAGGTTTTGGAAGTTCTTCAAGGGCCGTTGGGGCTTGATCTTGAAGGAGGATTTGACGAAGAACGAAAAGGGCTTTCTTGATCCTTCGGGATTTTCTTGAGAGCTTTAGAACTTTAAGGCTTCAAGGTTTTGATGTGTGTAGAGAAATGTATTTGTGAATTGATGGAGAAGCCTATTTATAGGCTTTGAGAGTGAATCACCACCACAAAATTTTCCCACCCAAGCACTATTACCTAATTTTCCCACTTAATGCAATATTGAAATTGAAGTGGTCTAACAAATGGCCTAATTTTCCACTTAATGCAATATTGAAATTGAAGTGGTCTTCTTTATGGCCTAATTTCCCACTTAATACAATATTGAAATTGAAGTGGTTTAACAAATGGCCTAACTTTCCACTTAATGCAATATTGAAATTGAAGTGGTCTTATTTATGGCCTAATTTCCCACTTAATACAATTTTAAACTTGAAATGTGCTTGCTTTGTCATTGCCCAAATGAGAAAAACTTGCTTTGATCCGTAATGGATTGAAATGTGCTTACCTTGTCATTGCCCAAATTGAGAAGAAAAACTTGTTTAATCATCCAAGGGTATTTCTTCCTATTTTGTTGAGTCACATGCCATGTGTACAATTTGTACGACACGTGGCGTATGCCATGTATGCCCTGACACGTCAAAACTTTAATACGTTGGTGAACATTTGTTTCACCGAAATTTCGATGTCTACAATTCTTTTGGATTCTCCCAATTTAATACGGATTCACTATCCTAAAAAACTATCTCCTTACTAGTAGAAATACCCTCATCTAAGGCACATCCTTGTTAACGCAATTCATTCACGTAACACATACTCTTTGTTTATTCTCTTGTCCATTACTTGAGTTATGCCTTTAATGTTGGAGATAACGCAATATCTTGGAAATCAACCAAACAGACCTTAGTTGCGACTTCTTAGAACCATGCTAAAATTCTTGATGAGTCGATTTTATATTATATATTTTACCTTATTCGTAGTATATATTGGTATTTGTTTTGGTGAGATTTTAAATGTAGGACATCCTCTTGAGCAAAAAGTGTTAAAACTACAAATTTTGGAAGTGATTCCAATTGGAGAGCATTCGTGAGTCTTTCAACTTGTTTGTATCAAAGTTTCAGATTTTTATGTCAAGCCGTTAATTTATAGTGAATAAATAACGAACCAGTATGCAAAGCTATCAATTGATGTTTCATGCTTATTTTGGCTTTTTGGCGTCCATGATGGCACTTTTGGCAATTGGATCTTCTACAAAGATGTTCAAGATGACTCAAGCTCTAAAACAAGATCTTTTGGGCCATTTTTCAAGTTGGTTAGCCCATGAACGTGGTAGATTTGTAAACTAGCATATTCTTGGTGTAGGATATTGTTTCCTATATTTTTTTTCTTAGTTTTTAGAAAACATTTTTCTAGGAAGGATTTATGTTACCATCAGGGGATACTCTAGGCACCAGACTTTAAGAGAATTTGGCATAGGTTTTTGAAGATTGTTTCTTTAATACAAGGTGTTTTCCTCTTTTTCTTCTGAATGATATTTTCCTTGTTTTTAATTATGAATATGTGTAACTAACTCTCTTTGCTAGGACGAGGTCATGAGTCTTAGCAATAATATATAGTTTATTTTCAATTTCTTAGGATATTATGCATGCATGTTTTGAATTATTAATCACAATGTTTAAACTATCTATATGTTTTGATGATTTGCCACCATTAGGATATTTAGAAAAGTAATTTGATGCAATTTTGGTTGGAGTGTTGTCCTTGACTAAGGCTTTTTGTAATTGTTAATTGTAATTTCGCTTAGAATGAATATCGCATCTTAAGGGTTGCATGTTTTTTCAAGGGGTTTTCATAAAGCTTAATGAGTCTTGCATGTTCAGATTTGATCCAAATGTCTAGACAAGTTGCATATTTGATATATATTCTAGTTTGGAAGTCCAAGTAGAGCATAACTTAGGAAAACCTAAGTTTCAATACGTATGTATAAGTCATAAATAATTGGAAGAACTACGTAGGATTATTAATGTGATGATAGAACCCTAGTGTCTTTTAGATTAGAAATTCTCAAAACCGTTTTCTTTTATTTTCTTTATCTTGCTGATTTCTTTAACTGATTTTAGTTAATTTATTTTTATATTTTAAGTCACAATTTTTATTCTTCTTCTAAACTTTGTTTTGAATAATTAGTCAAGAGTTGGTTTTAAATATAAATTGTTTCAATAATCTTATGGAGAATGACCTTGCATGAACATTTATACTACAATTCCCTTGTACTCTTACAAGTACTTTGTGTGATTTTGACTTAGTTTTCGTGTGTAGTAAGATCCTATCAATTCTCGCCCTTCACAAAGCCACACGTGAATGATTTGGCTGAGAGTTGTTGTAGAGCATATTTGAAGGACTTGCAGACCTTTTGTCGTCGTTAATGTCCCCACAGCGATCTATGAAGATAAAGCCTCATGTATCAACCATATCAAGAAATGATACGTCAAATGAGACAACACCAAGCATATTGCGCCTAAACCCTA